TTTCGGTTTTACTCTTTGCTATACTTGCATTTGTAATATGTATTTACTTCATAGTTGCACGTCTTTAACGTAACCTAGATGCCATTTTCATTTACCTTGGTATTTGCTTGTGTTAGTTTGGATATGTTTAATGGGATGTCTAAGTTTCTCGATCGCTTTAAATGAAATCTCTAAACTTTCTCAGTTTAGTCCTATATCAGTGTATTCACCTGTGTAAACCCCTTTTTATCTCCGTTTATATTTAATTTGCCTATATTCGTCCGATTCCCGACTTCAATATTAGTATATGAACTTATTCTATACAAAACGATTCACTTATTTAATTTAGCAATAATCATTTGCATCATTTTAAGCACTGGGAGTTTGATGATGGCTCACCTCCGCCCGATGATATTTTGAAGCAGTGGTTTGATCTATTGAGGTTGCGTTTTTATGAAACTCCTTTGTCACTTGAGCCCATGGATGAACCTGCCAACCACAACAATCCGACCCTCCATCCTGGCCCTGTTGCTGTTCATTGTCTAGCTGGCCTTGGAAGGTGTGTGCTCTTGCCCTTATCGGTAGTTGAATCAACTTCTGCTTAGTTTTTTTGCACTTTTTTATTGAATTTAACTAGGCGCATTCTATTTCTTACATGTCCCCTATACTTGTACCTGTTTTACTAGTCTTGTTAATGTTTTTTAAATATATATTTTGCATCTAGCTGACAAAACCTAATATTAAATTAATTAAAATGTAGGTTGTCAATTGTTAACAATTCCTTGACAATTTAGAAAAAGCCTCATTTTGCTTCCGATATTCAGTCAGCCCAAAAATGCCCCCATTATTAGGATTGGTTAGGGTAGATGCCATGTTTGATGCTTCATTATTTACTCCCAATGTGCATAGATTAACGAATATAACCTATCTTTCATGTAAAGCTTTACTAGTCTGTATACCACTAATCCGAATTCCGACAACCAAAATATCATTGGTTGCGGTCCTCATCATTAGGTCAAATTACATTAGTTATTATTTTGGTCACTAGACTTCATCGTGTAGCTGACTGGCTAGGCAGTGCAATATTTTTCTTGGATGCACCTTTCGTGAACGAGGGAATTGATTTCGCCCATAAACCTTGCTGACCCTCTTGTATGGGACTTGAGTTATATTGCATGATGGTCACATGCACCTCATTGAGTTATAATTAATTTAAGATGCAGACATTCTGTTGATGGTGATCTAAAAGGTAATAGCGAAGTATTCTGGCTTTTTTAGCGCTAAACTATTATCCTTGTTTTCATTGTCTTTTTATTTTGCTCTTAGGAAAGGTTGGCCTTATAGTAGCGTTAGTGTATTTAATATACATACATACTCATAATAGATCCACTAGGTTTTTAAATATAATGGAGAATTTTTATTATAATTAGTTTGCTCAGACTTTATGCCCTGTCTACACAAAAACTGGAATTAACCTTTGTTATATTGAATATAATAAACTATTTATTGCAGACAGAAAAATATCGACTATCCTGTTAACGAATGAATTAATACTCTGATTATCAGCACTTGGAGAAAATCATTGGGATCATGCTAACAATGAAGCGTGAAAGGTTTAACAGTGTGTCCTAGTCGAATTCTATTAGTAGCGCAGTTGATCAGTGAACTTCATTTCATCACCGCATAATTTATCAAATAAATGCACCCACCTGGTCTCATAGGAGAGGAAGCACGGAACTATGCGGAACTAATTGGGTTCATCTGCCTGAAGCATAAAAAGATATTTAATTAATCATCATATTTGGTGAGAGACTACTGAAATCTAATTCGAATGCTCAAGCCATCCCATGGGGATACATAACTATTAATCGAAGGTACGTAAGCCAAGGTGGTATGGCCTTTTGTGTGGTCTCAGTCTACTTTCGTTTTATAGAAGTTGTCTGACCTTGTTTTAGCATCTTGGATTAAATGGAACGGACCTAAACCGGAGTCCATAGTGTGTATTCTAATTTCGAGTCGGACCGTTAACGTGGTACATTACCAGAAGTTTCGCCGGCATCTTCAGTGAGCATTGTCAGTCCTAGCACCACACTAAAACTCGTCAAAGCAACAAGTTAAGCCGATCCTTTAACCAATTGTCTGCTAAACAATCGTGATATCTCTCCTTCCGCCCTGGGCTAATCACCAATCCTATATCATCGTACCACGAATTCATTATTACAATTTTTACTTGCCTATTTAAATGTTGTATTGTTTGCCATATTGAGCCGACTTCATGAGAACTGCCTACACTCCACGCTAGCTTCCTCACATCCTCATCGCTTCACTCTTGTGCTGGGAATGCTGATCACAGCCTGCCCTATTGTTACGCAGTCCTCCTTCCCTAGGTCTTATCAGAGTCTCCCTCTTGCTCCGTAGGATCCGTCTGCTATCTCCATGGTTCAAGTAATTCATTCGACCCCTGCCACCCCATCTGTGCTACACGAGGCGTTATTTCCAACACTTTACCTCTGGAAGACTAACTTGAAGCTTATGATCCTGGTAAAAAGGCCTACTGTCAGCCAACTAGTTCTAGTCTCCACCGCGTCTATCTTGTTTATATCCGTAATACTCAGTCCATCTCTTCCTATGCCCTAGTCTCTTCTCTGCCAACCCATGAATGTGGTAGGGCTTGCTTTGATTAGGTCTAATGTAGAACCACAACATTTTTGGGTTGGCGCACAAGAGACTAGTGCATAGAAAGTCATAGACTTGGTGTTAGGGATAGAAACAGGGTATATGCGGCGTATACTAGAGTTAGTTGGCTGACAATATGTCTGTTTTACCATAGACGTGGTCCATGAAACAAAGGCTTCATCATGATAATTATTCATAGGCTTTACCCTCAAATTAGTCTCCTAGAGGTAGTGTGGAAAATAACGCCTTATGGAGCACAGGTGAAGTAGCATGGGCCGGGTGAAATACTTGAACTAGGTAAATAGCAGACGCATCCTACGGGGCAGGAGGGAGACTCTGATAAGACCTAGGGAAGGAGGACTGTGTAACAATTGGGCAGACTGATCAACATTCTCAGCACAAGGGGGAAGCGATAAGTATGTGAGGAAGCCAGTGTGGAGTGTGGGAAGTCCGCTCAAAATGGCAAACCATACAACATTTAAATAGGCAAGTAAAATTGTAATAGGGAAGGTGTGATATGAGGATATAGGATTGGTGATTAGCCCAGGGTGGAAGGAGAGATACCACCATCGTTTAGCAGACAATTGGTCAAAGGATCGGATTCACTTGTCTCTTTGACGAGTTGTAGTATGGTGCTAAGAATGGCAGGACTCACTGACGATGCCGGCGAAACGTCTGGATATCTACCACGTCCACGGTCCGACTTTGGAAATGATCATGCATACAATGGACTCCATACTTGGTGCGTTTCCTCAGGTCTTCCTACTAATATGACCAAGTTGCGAAAACAAGGTCAAACAACCTCTATACAACGAAAGGAGACTGCCACCACACAAAAGGCCACACCATCTTGGTCTTCATAACTTCGATTTATTGTATTAATTTTGATAAAAAGGATGTCCTACTCAAATGACGACAATCAGAACTCTCTTCGGGTTGCCCTTAGGTTGTATTTCTCCACTAGCCTATTTCGAACTGTATTCATTTAAGAAAGTTTACCGATTTAACCAGTACCGCAAAGGCTAACAAAATGATATTTCAACTATTATATTGTCTCCGGCAGCCTATGAATATTTAGAGCCTGCCTATATTCTTTGCATTAAGTAGTTTAAGGAGGGAAATTTAGAATGTGTGGCTACCCTGATTTCGTGTGAAGGTTGATTTTTACTTATCATGCCTAGAAATTCAATTGAGCCTGATTATCATCCATCTACTAGTGAGATT